TGATTCTGCTGGTATCTGAAATATTAATGGCCCTGATTTCCAGAGTCACAGCAACAAGCAGGCCACCTCAGTGTGACAAACTGATAGATTGAGTGACAGAAATATAAACCACTGTGGTTGAGTAGTTTGGCTTGTTGTTAGGTGCCATTGAGTCAGTTCCAACCCATAGCGACCCTTTGTGTAACAAATAGAACAAAACACTGCCTGGTTCAGTGCTGTCCTTAGAATTGTACCTATACTTGAGCCCATTGGTACAGCCACTGTGTCAGTCCATCTCACTCAGGACCTTATTTTATTTATTTTTTTCTGGCTCGTAGAGACCCTACATAAACCAAACTCACTGGCATCAAGTTGATGCCTGCTCATAGTGACCCTATAGGACAGGGTAGCTAGAACTGGCCATGTGAGTTTCTGAGACTTAACTCTTTCTTTTTTTTTTTAATAAGTTTAACTTTTATTTGTTTCCCAGTCCTCCTTCCACTACCCAGTGTCTCATCCCACCAACACTCCTTTTCCTAGTCTAAAACCGTACATGGAGCAGGCAGACAAACGGATATTTTGGGGGCATTTTTAATAATTTTGATTCAAATAAGATTTTGAATCATAACTTCTGGAAGAACCACTTGTTTTTACCGATCCTGGATCTCTCCTCAAATTTGACCGTGACCTCCCAATGGGCCTTGTGTTTAAGAGCAGCGTCTCTGAAGACATCCTTGCTGACTAGTTTTGTCCAAGGGTATGTCCCTGGAGTACTTTATGGGCATGAGGTGATTAGAGTTAGACACCTTCACAAAAGAGTTGATCTTTGACCTCTTGGGGCAGTTTTCTTCTTGCCCATGGCAACTCTAGGAGATAGTAGTCGATCCTAGCTACCACTGTAAGGCGGTCTGAGGTGCCATCATCAATGTCCTTCACAGTGAGTGATGGCCTTGCGTCCGGCCAGGACCAGCACCAGCACCACCTTCATGAGTTTCATGAACTTGCCCATTTCCACAACAAGTTCTCAGGCCAACTGAGACTGTAACTCTTTACAGGAGTAGAAAGTCCCATCTTTCTCCTAAACACTGGCTAGTGGTTTCCAACTGCTGACCTTTTGGATCGTAGCCTTATGTATATACCTACTGCGCCACCAGGGCTCCTTAGAGACCCAGTGTAGGGTTCCAGCAAATCTGTTTGAGAGCAGACAGTGTCACTTTTCTCCTGTGGACAGATGGTAGGTAGTTGCTTTATAGCTAGTAGTCCAACACCCAGCCCACAGCGCCACAAGGGCTTCTTGGCAGAATTAAGGATAACCATTCATCACATAACAACACATACAACTTCATTTATAGTATGAGAAATATAAATTATAATGGTCAAGAGCTAATGTTTTCCACCTTTCATGTTGCTCATAATCTGAAAGTATGAGAATGTAGCTATTCTTGGGAGTGTAAGTAGATAACGATTACTATGGAAGGAAACTTTGCAATATTCATGAAAATTAAAAGTATATTTATCATGTATGAACTAGCATGCATTTTTGGGCATTCATTTCACATCATTTATAGTAATAATAAAAGAATAGAAAAAGCCCAGTTATTTGTTACCAAGTTCTGGGTTTAAGTCATTTTACATTTCTTTAGTGGAATGCTTTAGTATTACTCATTGAAAACACTAAAAATGTTATAAAATGGTGATGAACTATGCTTGGGAAGACATTAGTATTTATACTTAATTATACCTTTACCTTAATGTTATACTTATTTACATTTTTTTTAACAACCAGAAGGACATCCAAAAAACACATAATAAAGTCAGGGTGGGAGAAACAGTTGGCAACAGAGACAGGAGCAAGATGTCACTATTTTTATTTAGTGTGAGTTTAGATTTACTTGAATGTATTATCTAAATAAAAATTACCAAGATTAAAAAAAGTTAATGTAGCAAAATGCCTCTTGAATGTTTTTCCCACTAAAGTAATTTTAATTACAGTGGGTGATATTTATACAAGTAGTGAGTAGGAGTAAAACTTGAGGTGACCAGTTTCATAGAAGTGTCCGCTTTTTCTAAAAGTATATTGATTTCTCTGTAAGACTGTTTAAAGTGGATATATATAATTGTTTAAAGTGTTTAAAGTGGATATATATAATTGCTCTTATCATTAGCACATTATGATGTAACTTCTTTTTCCCTTAATGTTTCTCATCCTTGTTTTAGAAGCACATGTGGTTCAAAGCTAATTCTTTTTTGTATTTTATTGGGGGCTCATACCAGTCTCATCACAATCCATACATACATCCATTGTGTCAAGCACATATGCACGTTTGTTGCCCTCATCATTCTCAAAGCATTTGCCTCCCACTCTAGCCCCTAATATCAGTTGCTCATTTTCCTTCTCCCTTCCCACTTCCCCTCCCTTATGAACCCTTCATAGTTCATAAATTACAGTTAATTCCTAACACAATATCTTGTGTTATATTTGTATTCCCAACTGAGTTTTTTAACCGAAGAACTATAATCTGTTAAGTATGTAATAACTAGAATTAAGTTTCTCTTGTTTTTAATGATTATTTCTTACAAATGACATCCAGACCAATTTGATTGATTGGCACTTTGATGTTACTAATGCTGTGTAGTGGCTTGTTCATTATCACTCACTCACTGCCATTAAGTCAATTCTTACTCATAGAAACTATAAAACAGTAGAACTGCCCCATTGTATTTCTGAGGCTTTAAATCTTTAAAAAAAAATTTATTTTAATCATTTTATTGGGGAGGTCTCCACTCCCACCACCCTCATTTGCATAGAAATGGTTGTTTGTTTTTGCCCGTCTTTGTTTTGGGTCTTCTGATGCCTGATACCTGATCCTGTGAACACCTAGTGATCACACAGGCTGGTGTGCTTCTTCCATGTGGACTTTGTTGCTTCTGAGCTAGATGGCCGCTTGTTTACCTTCAAGCCTTTAAGACCTCTGATACTATAGCTTGTAATAGCTGGGCACCATCAGCTTTGTTCACCATATTTGCTTATGCACCCATTTTGTCTTCAGCGATTGTGTTAGAGAAGGTGAACATCACAGAATGCCAGGTTACTAGAAGAAAGTGTTCTTGCATTGAGGGGGGATTTGAATAGAGGTAGGTCCAAGACCCGTCCGCTACCTTAATACTTAGCCTATTAATATATATACATAGACCCATATCCCTATGGTATATAAAATATATTTTCATATGTACATGCCTACATTTGAGGCTTTAATGTTAATGGGAGTAGAAACTCATCTTTCTCCTGTGTTGTTTAGTATATTTCTATGTAAATCACATTCCTTGTGTTCTGTGTTACCTGTTTAATATGTCCTATTTGGAATATTCTTTTCGGCAGGATGAAGTTAAAGGAAGTAGATCGCACAGCCATGCAGGCATGGAGCCCTGCTCAGAACCATCCCATTTACCTAGCTACAGGTAAGTTTGAAGAGAAAACAGAATGAGGAGTAGCCTCTTCTCTTTTATCTGGCTGATTTGTACTTGCCCCTTTGCACTTCAGACTTCATTTCTGGAAAGCGTCACCTTCCCTGGCAAAACACTGCCATCCTCTATCGGCAGAGTTCATTGACCTTCTTCTGTGTTCTCACAGCACCCTGTGCAGCTTAGCCTTGATCATAATATACTGCTCTCTTCCCACTCTATAAGAGATTGTGTTTTGCTCTTTATTCCTCTTATATTAAGCAAATTGGCTGGCATGTAAAGACAATTAGTAGATATCAATTTGAATGGATGAGTAACAGTTTTGATGCCCGTACTTTTAAGAGTTGAGTTTATATCCTTATAACTATAAGCAAATGTTGTAAATCATGGCATTGTTTTTATAGAGCGCTTTCAAATAATGGATAGGCTTAAATTGTCAAAGTGACTATAGTCACTTTTATAGACTATAAAAAGGCTTATAATCATTTAAAAAGAGTATACAAATATCATCTTTCAGTCTTCCCTAATTGTGCCAGAATCTCATTGCTGTTGTAATTAAGAATCTGCTCAATGACACATGCCCTGATATTTCTGCTGCTGTTGGCAGCATTCATGAACGAGATAATTGAAAAATAGGCTTTTTAATTTCTGCTTTGTGTCGTTCTGAGTCTTTTATTTTTGTAAGTGTATGTACCATAAATGTATTTTCTGTAGGAACATCTGCTCAGCAATTGGATGCAACATTTAGTACCAACGCTTCCCTTGAGATATTTGAATTAGACCTTTCTGATCCATCCTTGGATATGAAATCTTGTGCCTCTTTCTCTTCTTCTCACAGGTATGAGGCTCCATTTCAAATTCATGTGATTATTTAATTGTGGTTCATTTTTGTAGGTGACCCCCTAGTTTGTCTCTAATTATGCCATTATTAGAAATTGCAGCAAATGCCATCAATGACATGAAATATTTTTGTGGTAAAGCATATGATGTTAAAAGTGTTGATGTGTTCAATTTTATTTATTTATTTAAAAAAATCATTTTATTGGGGGCTCGTACAACTCTTATCACAATCCATACATCCATCCATTGTGTCAAGCACATTTGTACATTAGTTGCCATCATCATTCTCAAAACATTTGCTTTTCACTTGAGCCCTTGGCATCAGCTCCCTCCCTCCCCGCTTTCCCCTTCCTCATGAACCCTTGATAATTTATAAATTATTATTATTTTATCATATCTTATACTGTCCAACGTCCCCCTTCACCCACAATTGATTTTGCTTTTATTGGCTGCTATGTGTAGGGTAAAAAAGACACTAATTTTAAGGGTTTTTTTGTCTTTTAAGTTTTTTTCCTCTTATAGTGGAGTTACTTTCTTTCACCTTAATTTTGCCTGTTTACAGAGAGTCTAGGACTAGATAGAAATGTATTAAAATATTAATAGTAAAGAATTTTATTTTCTTGTTTGTGCTTCCTGGTACTTAAAATTAAGTTTCACAGATATTATTGATGTGATTTCTTATATAGTAGGTATTTGGACCACCCCTTCAAGTATTATACCCTATTGTAATTCAGAAAAATGGACATTTTCATTTCTGTAATAAAATAAAAACTTTATTGCTTCAATAATATGGGTAGATTTTGCTGAAAAGGTTGTACCTTTGCACTCTAGGTAATAGAATACAACCTAAATCATGTTTTCTCACGGGACCTTGCATATTTATATGAGTATATTAAACCTTTTGCTTAGCAGTTTTTCTTACAGGTATATTTTATATACTCATGCTACTCTCATATTGCATCTCTAAGTCATAATAATTTATACTCTACTACTAGGCGTACTTATAATCAAATTTTGATATAATTTTTAAAGTGTCATAGCATAATTTTCTTAGAAATTTTCAGATTTAACATCTTTATTAAACAGATTACTTGTCTGTTCATACTTCTGTAGTCAAATTGAGTTTATTTTTCAAACAAAGTAGTTGATTAACTCCATTCTTCAAGTTAAACAAAGGTGCTTTAAGATTAAGTAACTTGTCCCAGGACTCTTTCTTTTTCTTTTTTCATTTAATCATTTTATTAGGGGTTCATACCGCTCTTAACACAGTCCATACATACATCCATTTTGTCAAGCACGTTTGTATGTATGTTTCCATCATCATTTTCAAAACATTTTCTTTCTACTTGAGCCCTTGGTATCAGCTCCTCGTTTTGTTCCCCTCCCTCTCCCACCCACCCTCCATCATGAACCCTTGATAATTTATAAATTATTTTTTAATGTCTTATACTGATCAATGTCTCCCTTCACCCACTTTTCTGTTGTTTGTCTCCCTTAGAGAGGGTTATATGTAGATCCTTGTGATTAGTTCCCATCTTTCCCCCCACCTTCTCTTATCGTTATTGGTCCTGGGGGGTTTATCTGTCCTGGATTTTCTGTGTTTCCAGCTCTTAGCTGTGCCAGTGTACATGCTGTGGTCTAGCTGGATTTGTAAGGTAGAATTGGGGTCTTGATAGTTGGGCTTGGGGGTGGATAAGCATTAAAGAGCTAGAAGAAAGTTGTGTGTTTCATCGTTGCTACACTGTACCATGACTGGCTCGTCTCCTCCCCATGTCCCTTCTGTAAGGGGATATCCAGTTGTCTAGAGATGGGCTTTGGGTCTCCACTCCTTATTCCCCCTCATTCACACTGATAAGATTTTTTGTTCTGGGTTGGACTCTCAGTTTCTATAAGGTAAAAACCATTCTCAAAACCCATGATTTTAATTATTTTATTCTTTAAAGGTTTAATTATTTTAATGATTGTGCATCTACTGATGAACTTAGAAAAATTGTTACTGGCGTATGCGTCATGTAGCATACAATTTAATAGTTCATTCGTGTTACGAAGAGTTGTGCAGTCCTCACCACAGCCCTTTTCAGAACATTTTCTTGATCATACTTGTTGTTAGCTCCCTATTTTCCACCAACCTCTACTGCAGTGCCCCTAGGTAATTGTTAATACAGTTACTGTCCCTATAGATTTACATCTCCTGGATTCCATATACAGAAAATCATACAAAACAAAACCAAGAAACAAACAAGCAGAGAACAGTGATAAAACAGAAACATTTCAATCAAAAAGAAAGAAGAAAATATTAAAAACGGAAACAACTTGAAAATAGATCAAAAGGGAGATCCAATGATGTTACAATTTTTTTAAAAATGATGTTACATTTTAACTCAATTGCATTTACCAAAATCAACTGTAGAATGCTCTGTCTGATAGCAAGGGTATTTAAATCCCTGGACTATGGTCAGAGGGGCTTTACTGGAGGCTAAAACCCATGTGGGGACCCTGCAGGTGGATTTTGGTTTCCACTGTTACCCATAGCACTCTAAAAATGTGTCCACAATGATACATACCATTGACTCCTCTGGATTTGGATTTTTTTTATTTACAGTTCTTGGATCTTACAGGCTAGTGTGCTTTTTCCATGTGAATTTAGATGATGCCTCACTTAGATAGCTGCTTATTTAGAGATAAGGCTTTAAGACTCTAAGCACATTCTTTTCTGATAACCAGGCACTGTCTGGTTTCTTTTTTTCTTTTTGAGTTTGATTTTTTTATTATTTTTTAAATTTATTTTTTAATGTTGGTTCAATTTTTTTTCTAATCATTTTATTAGGGGCTCTTACAACTCTTATCACAATCCAT